GCCTCCCAAGTAGCTGGGACCACAGGCGCCCGCCACAACGCCCGGCTATTTTTTGGTTGCAGCCGTCATTGTTTGGCGGGTCCGGGCTGAGGATTTGAACCCGCCACCTTAGGTGGACGTGGCTGGCGCCCTGGCCGGTTGAGCTATAGGCGCCGAGCCAGTTTTTTCTATGTACATTTTTTAAAGAACAATTAAAGATGAGGAATTGTTTAATTAAAATCCATGGGTACAATTTTTATGCTTAAGCCTTCTTAAGTTTTTCAGCTTGTGCTGGCACCCTTACTTCAGTTCGGGCTGAACTGAGGCATATTGATACATTGGTATTGATACACTGACTCAGCCAGAGCTGATTGCATTTTCAGGAAAAACGTGGGAATTCTAAATTCTAGATACAAAAATTGTAGAACAAAAATTAGAAATTTCAATAAAATTTATGATTCTTTCTAATAATTTTCTATTTGAAATGAAGCAAATGGTACTCTGGTTTGACTTACTGTCCACTTGTTCTGATGATGTGCTTGGTTCTCATTTTTCTCTTAGGAAATAGGATTATACCGTTTTCTACTTACTTGTCTAAATGTTTTATTCCACCCACCACACAAACATCCATGTCTTTAAATCAAACATTATTGTTTCAAGAATGCAAAACTGAGATATCTCTCAGCATCCATAAAATAACAAGTGACTTTGGTTCTATGAAGGAATGTTAAAGTAGAGCCTATGTTTACTTTTTTACCTTCAGTTTGTTTAAATGGCATTAGAAATTTACTGTCATCAATGTTTGAACAAAAATCTTTGCTCTGTGCTTAGGTTGTATACTGGGCCTTGAACTTGGGCCAAATCGGCCTTAACAGTGATGCCAGTGTGCATAGTGTGCACCTGTAGTCGCAGCTACTCACGTGAGCCCAGGAGTTACCCAGCCTGGGTAACACAGTGAGAACTTGTCCCAGAAATAAGTGATGGCAAGGATTGAACTATCGGATATATCTCCTCCTCTTCTAACAGCTTATTTACTCCCTCTTTTTTGGGGACAGAGTCTCAAGCTGTCACCCTGGCTAGAGTGTCATGGCGTCATAGCTCACAGCAACCTGCAACTCAGGCTCACGAGATCCTCAGTTTTTTCTATTTTTAGTCTCGCTTTTGCTCAGGCTGTTCTCAAACTTGTGAGCTCAAGAGGTCCACCCACTTCGGCCTCCCAGAGTGCTAGGATTACAAGCACAAGGCACCGCACCCAGCTGGCTTATTTAGTCTTCTAGAAAAACTAAGTTTTAATGGTTCTTTTTTTTTTTTTTTTTAACTAGGTTATTTCATCTGTTCCAACACCTTCCAAGGATAAGCTGGAAGATGTGCATACAAGTCTTCCATGTAAACAAAGAAGAAGAATATAGATTGCATGCAGCAAGTCAGTTATTTTCTAAAGAGAATATTTATTTTTTTATTTGTTGCCTATCATTTTAATTCTTCAAGTGATTCTACTGCTGGTATTTTTTAATGCACTTTTCTTTGTAATTTTATTCAACCTATTGTCTGAAATAATTTATTTTTGATCCGTACTTCATATGAACAGAAACTGTTCATGTCATATAACATTATCTCTCCCATTGCCATAACTATCTGTAAACTAATTGAAGCAAATATAGGAACTTTACAACACAAATGAAGATAGACAACCAGGATCTTCTGATTTTCATACAAGTATTGAGTGATTCACATTCAAAAACAGGAAGTCAGGATGTTTCTGAATGCCAAGGCTTCAAAATCAAAACATTTCTGTAAAGTAAAAAAGTAAAAATTAACTATTAGAAGAAAGCTGAAATTAGAAGCTTACTGTTTTAACTTCTAAGAAGAATTTACTTCATCTATGGCAATCAAAAACAATTGAGTATTTGTAAATTGCAGACTTACCACTACTGTGGCATACCCACACTTTGCTAGTGGACCATGTGGTTGAAATCCACATGTGTTCAGACTGTTCCTACTTACTGGACTGATAAAACAACTTGGGAAGGCCCATACTTTATGGTATACATGGTGTCTGTTTAAAACTTCTCCTTATCCTTAATGGCATCTTGCCTTACAGATTGAATTCAAACATGCCAGTAAATAAGATCCAACTTCAGTTATCATGATGTACTGATCCAAATTTACTAGGGTGGTTCTTTTTTTTTTTTTTTTGGTAGAGACAGAGTTTCACTTTGTTGCCCTTGGTAGAGTGCTATGGCGTCACACAGCTCACAGCAACCTCCAACTCCTGGGCTTAAAGCCATTCTCTTGCCTCAGCTTCCCGAGTAGCTGGGACTGCAGGCGCCCACCACAATGCTAGGGTGGTTCTGAGTGGTGGATGATACTAAAAGAAGCTGCAGGCAAGGGATTATTAGCCTCTACTTCCTTGTGAAGTATTTAGATCTATTTTTTGCTGAAATCTCAGGTAAAAGGTGTATTGGAGACCTAAACATAGCATTGCAAAGAATAAATTACATTTAGATAAGGTTTCACGGCCTATAAGGTACTATGGATCCATCTTAGTATCTTGTTAAAATGTGGATTCTGATGGCAGTGGCTACGGGCTATGGGAGGGAATGGGGAGTTTAATGGATAAAGAGGTTCGGTTTTCCAAGGTGAAGCGTTCTGGAGATTGTTTACATGACAGTGTGAGCATACTTAACACTACTAAACTATACACTTAAAAATGGTTAAAATGGTCAAATTTTTTTTTTCTTTTTTGAGACAAAGCCTCAAGCTGTCCCTCTGGGTAGAGTGCCATGGCATCACAGCTCACAGCAACCTCCAACTCCTGGGCTCAAGCGAGTCTCCTGCCTCAGCCTCCCAAGTAGCTGGGACCA